CCAGAGAGGTGGTGCTCTCACCTTCCCTGGAAATCTTCAAGAGGAGACTGGATAGGCACCTGGCTGGGGTCTTATGGCCCCTCCCACCCCCAGTGCTCCTTCCTGCCCATGGCAGGGGGTTGGACTCGATGATCTGTCTAGGTCCCTTCCGACTTATTGATTCTATGATTCTTAACCCCATCTCTGTTGGCAGACTGGGCTCTGAAGAATCTGGCCTTAAATGGGCCACCCTGCTTTCTAGTAACACGGCTAGAGTTCCCTGTTACAGCCATGTACAGGCATTCTGTTTCTTCTGGGAGTTTCATTATTCTCCCAGAAGTCACAAGTGTATTCATAAAGCACTTTTAGCATTTTTCTTCCAGAGCAAAATGACAACTCTGAAAGGAAAATAACTTGGAAACCACCAAAGTTAAGTGATCTGTACACTTTCCCTTCTGAGATGAGCTGCACAGACCTCCAGCACCCCAGGGTACTTTGCTCTCAGTCTTATCCACCCTCCCCTACCCCCAAGAGACACTGGGCATGTCTACATGTGCATTAATGTGCTTCAGTTAATTGTAGCTGTATTGTGAGTTACTAGGAAAATGCACATTAGCCTGTCTTAATGCATGCTAACTAATGAGCATGGGGTGCCTATATACCTGCATTGAGGCTGCTCCAATGCACTGTAATTACAGCACTGGAATCCATCAGATTCCAGTGTCACGTGCATCAGCATTTCCATGCTGACAAATGGTGGTAGGGGCACTTTAACTAAAGCTTGTTTGATGAGCTTTAGTTAAAACACCCCCACTGCCATTTTTCAGTGCAGAGATGCTGATACATGGGATGCTCTGGGCACTTTAATGAGAGCAGCTCTCAGAGCCAGTCACTGAAGTGCTTCCCTGCCTCCCAGAGCATGTGTATAAACACCCATGGGGCTCCCATGCACGTGCAGGGAGCCTGCACCAACACACTGGAAATCTAGCACATTGGAACAGGCTCGACAAGTCTGCTGGAGCACAGAAAGAAACATGCTGCAGCAGACTCTAGCATCATGTGTACCAGCGTTCCTGTGCTGAAGAATGGTGGCAGGATGCTTTCAACTAAAGCTAGTTTGATGACCTTTAGTTTGAAGTGCCCCACCACCATTTTTCAGCACAGAGATGCTAATGCATGTGACACTCACGTTCTTTTAATTAGCGCAGGTCACTAATTAAAGTACCCCCCTTCCCCCCATGCCTCCCTGTTGGCAAGAATAAAGAAAGACGGGTAAGGACTTGAGCTTTTATGTTCTGTTCCATTTCACCATGGGAAGGCCTGCTATGCTGCTCAAGTTAAGAGTCTCATTATGGTTTCATTATGACCCTGTATTTTCAGTGTGCTTATGCCTTAACTTGAAAAAAAATCCATGGTTTTTAACTAACACTTAATGTACGTTAGCTTATTTTAATGTGCATTAACTAAAAAGCATGTTTTTTAAGTGATGCTTTGATGCACATTAAAAGAGGCAAATGTACATTAAAGTGCACATGTAGACACTCTCAGTGTGTTGTTTTACTGCACCAGTTGAGCAGGAAGAAAACATGCCCCCTTCATAATCCCCAGTTTTGCTGCAGGGAGACACAGGCTGACCCTGAGCAGTCTAGGTCAGTTGATCAGGGCTTCTTTGTGCACTGCTGCCATCTATCTCCAGGCAGATTAAGGGGGCCTATGGAGCAGACTGAGATGTGGCTAGGGGGCCCCTAGCTGCACAGTGTCAGCATCACAGCTTCCTTGATCTTTAGGGACTTGGCTTTCAGATGTCTCCAGGTAAGTTTTCCTACCAGGAAAACAAACCCAGAAGAATTCTCCTGGATCATTTGAACGTGTATATTTAATCTTAGAGTCCTGTTTCTGGGGATTCTCTAGCTGAACAATCAATATAACTTAAAGTGATATCCAGTAAAGCCATCTTTCCTATAAACTCTGTAAATCTAAATCATAATACATTTGTCATTGTGGTCAATTAGACCCCAAAAATGGTTGAGAAATGCACATCGGTGCTGCTTTTTCTTTCTACTTGGATTTTAGAGTTCATTAAAGAAATGAATAGCTGGCTGTTCTACAATCATGTAATTTTACTGTTTTTTTCACAGATTGCTCTCCAAAATTATATGAGGCAGTAAAATCCACAAAGAACAATTTCATGCCCAAACAAGTTTAGCATGATTCTTGCTGGATGAGACCTAAGGAAAGTCCTTTGTGGCTCATTCAATAGAAGGCTTGTTTATAAACCACTAGGGTCTCAATTTTACTCTCCAACAATAATGAACAACTATAGAGCTATATCCAGCAATCAGATTTTTTCCCCCATAAAGTTGAGGTACCGATTTGCATACTACAGACTATAACTGAAACATGGAAACCAGAGGAATTTTCTATATTTCTTTTCTGGAGATATGTAGGCTGTTATGATTTTTAATTTGTATGGTTTGTTATGCCATTGAACAAAATATATATTTTTAAATGTTTAGAAAGGCTATGTTTAAGGATGGTGTTGGAGAGGTATTGTTGATGGACCATTTGATGTTTCTTTACTGCCTTTTACTGCCATTATCCTAATTCCTATATTCCTACATTTGGATGGACTGACTAGACAAGGATTACTGTTAGAGAAGTATTGCAATATGTGGTTTTGAATGTATTCCTTCACTTTGGCTTGTGATTTCTAAAATTATATGGACCAAATGCATTCCTATGGTTAGAGTGTGCAGGGCAACTAAATATCATTAGGTAACTAATATGTAGAGAAAATATTACAATCAAAATATTTAAAGAGGAGTATGTTACGCTTCAAAGAGCAGACTACAAATGTGAATGTGACATGTACCTTATCTAACATAAAGCTCACTACCATGTGTAGACCTCTATTGAAGAAAACATTGAACCCCTATGTGCAGTTAGGTATGTATTTTAGTGGTTTTGATTTCACATTGATAGCCATGGAATATATGAAGGCATCAAATGAGCAATAGGTTCAGTCGAGAAGAAAACAGCTCTGCTGAAAGGCTTAAACAGAAATGTCATTACTGATCATCAAAAAGAACTTGAGTGTTGGATTGAATACTGTGCAATTATATATACTCCAGTGAGACTGAAATTAAACACAAAGAGTCAAAGGGTTACCACAGTTAGAAGTTATGATGGGTTTGGACAACAAGGTTACGTTAGAAGATTTGCAGAAAGTCATTATAAATCAGTTCCTGGGAACAAGGCATCCAGCAACAGCTTTTTGCCTGCTGAAATCTACAGATGTGCCAAGATGAATTACTTCGAAAGCTTCATGAAGTTATACTTCTCTGTTAGAAAGAGGAAGCAGCACCAGAAGATTTTGAAGCTGGTTGGTTGGTACAATTATACAAAAACAAAGTGGATAGAAGTGACTGTGACAACTATCTCTCTGTTGAACGTCATCAGAAAATTTGTCACTCGCATCATGCTCCTGAGGCTGCAATCTGGGTGAAAGAATCTATTCTGAAAGTCAAGGAGTTTTTCACTCCACTACTGTGATATTTTCAGTGAAGCAACAGCAAGAGAAGCGTAGAGAAAAACGAATACCATTGTATATAGCCGTACGAAAAACTAGAACTCTGGGTTCCAAAATTATACCTTTCATTAGACCAACTGGCTTTTGTATATAGCCTTCATCTGTCTGACAAAGACCTTCAATACAGTCAACAGACAGGGTGTTTCTACGTTTCTGAAGAAACTGGTTGTCCCTCCAAACCGTTGAACATCATTCACTCATTACATCAAGGTATGAAGGGACCTGTGGTGTATGAAAACGAAGACTCAAACACCTTTCACAGCCACGAAAGGGTGGAACGGGTGTATCTTGGCCCTGTGGTTTTTAACATCTACCTTTCATTCCTGTTTCTTCATGCATTCAAGAACAGCAATGATGGCATTTATCTTTGAATGAGATTAGATGGAGGCTTGTTCAATATTGCAAGTTTTAGAGCAAAAACCGAGGTGAAAGAACTGATTCTGAGAGATTTCCTCTTTGATGTGGCCTTGGTTGCCCACGATGAATCTTCTGTACAAAATCTCTTGAGCAGATTTTCTGAATCATGCAAGAGCTTCAGGATGGCAATTAGTCTCAGGACAACTGTGATCATGTACCAAGGGGTGAAAGAATTAATACCTAACATCACTCTGGGCAATAACTGTCTTGGTGTTTTTTTGTCTCTTACATGTATACCATGATCCAGGCATTGATGGTTGCCTACTAAGCGCTTTCCTGTGTCAAGACCATATAGATAAAAATAGATCTACAAACTGTGTTGTTATAGTCCCTGAACACTGTTACCAGATGAACTATCTCTAGATCACATATACGGTGATATAACTCTGGAAAACTATTTTTCCCTACATTTTGCCTTCTAAAAATTAGGTGTGTGTTTTATATAAGGGTGAGTGGTACGTGAGAAATAAAACAGTTTAGTTTTTGTGTTTTCATTCTAAGAAATCTTAACAGCTGGAAGGTTTAAAAAATTAGTCCTGTTTTATACAAACCACAGAGGTTGGGAAGAATCCTGATTAATGGGTTGATGCTTTGCTTCTAACGTTTTTGTGCGTTGTGTTATTTCTTGGATGTAAAAACTAATTTTCCATTTGGTAGATCCAGCAGTTTCTCATATGTAGCTTTTAAGTGTTGATTTCTGAGTACACTAAGAAACAGCTGGCAGGAGACTAAATGGTTCTGAAAGAGGCAAAACTGGGAAACAGCTTTTTTGGTGATGTCTTTTCTAGCAGGAATATAGTATTCACTGTTTTTATGAGTCTAATAATTTGGGACTCTTGAAATTAATGTCCAGCTGAATTGTGTGTTGTCCAGTGATATTGGGGCCTGGCTTCCAGTGATGTGATGGTGATAGTGAAGACTCTATTAGAAGATTAACCTTCTTTTCTCTTTTTGGCAGATGCAAGACAAAAGTCTACCCTGATGAGCTCCCAAATACAAGTGTCGTTATAGTGTTTCATAATGAAGCCTGGAGTACTTTGCTTCGAACTGTTTACAGTGTTATAAATCGGTCCCCGCATCATTTACTTTCTGAGGTCATCTTGGTAGATGATGCCAGTGAAAGAGGTAAGCCTCTTGTGCTAATTTATCGAGGGCAGTTGCTGATAATATGAAAGACATTTAAATGTAACATATTTTGTTACTGTCACATTTAAGAATAGTTGTACAAGTCAGTGGCATTTAACCATTGATAAATCTGAAACCCAAGTCTAAACAAAGATGCCTGTGATTGTTACTTGGTTCAGAGGCAGCTGGAGTGAAAAAAAAAAGGTACTTTTTAGTGACCTTGGACAAATGGTCATAACAAATATTTTAATGTATCTGGGGAAGTGCTAAACTGTGCACGTTTCTAAAGTAATAATTGAAAAACTGTCTGGAATCATATCTATAACCAGAGCTGTTATCCAGATTTTTGTGAGTTCATTTTTTGCATCAGTTAATTATAAGCTGCACACTGATTTTATTATCTCATATCTTTGTTGAAGAATGCAAGTAAGAATATGGTGTTACGTGTTTTTGCCACTCATTGCTCTTTCCAAAAGGGAAATAGCTTACTCCTGGGGTTCAAACCTTTTAGAATGTAAGAAGCTGATGCGGTTTCTTTCTATTTCTTTCTATGGTAAATAATTATTGTGGTTTTCATTTCTTTGGGGGCCTGATTTCTTGTAGGAGCATTTCTTTATAGAGAAAGCAGCTTTTAGTTACAGAAACTGCCTCTGACATTGTTAACATTCTTTTTTCCTTACAAAATGCCAAAAATTTAATATCCAACATGAAATTAGTGAAAAGCCAAAGATATTATTTGGAATTGCATGCATTTTTAAATGTTCTCACAGTCTTGCACCTTATATAATGTTTAAGCTATTTAATGCTGAATACAAAAGAATGCAGCAGCTAGTTAATTCAGGCATAACAGTACCTCTCATAATTGTGCACGCAGCTGGAATTGGCTCTGGGTTTATTTCTATACAGCTGCCGGATATAGGGGACTAAGACCCCTCTACACATTACAGGTATTGCACAATTAACTGGTTAAATTACACAATGACCTGGAGACAAGCTACATGTGCAGAGTAGCTATTGCACAATAAAATGTTTCAACCACCTATAAAGTTAGACTTTGAAAAATTGTACTAACTTTATAGCTGGTTGCTGTTGGACTTTAATTTGCACATGCAGCTGGGTCTCCCCGCAAGGGTGCACTATGCCGAATGAAACCCCACTCACCCCCCACCAGGCCATAGGGATCGCAGCTATAATCTCTAAGGTTTAGGGGTGCATGAAATCCCCAAACCCTGGGGATTGTGGCTATTATCCCTAGGGATCCGGGGTACGTGGAAACCTCTGGGGCTGGAGGATTCCTGCAGGACAGTCCCTCTGCTCTGGGGATGCAGGAAATCTCCAGGACTAGAGGATAACCATGATCCTCCACCTCGGCTGTTGTCCCCAGCCTAGGGTTGTGGGAATCACCAGCTCCAGTGGGGATCCTCCAGCTTTTGGGGTGCGGGGGGTGCCTATGCAGCTGGGAGCCCTACCACTGTGGTGCATGGTGCTCCCAGTCTCAGGATCCTCCTTCTTGCTGGTACAGGGGGAGCCTGAGATCAGGCTACCCCTGCACTGTCATTGTGGGATCATGCATTAAATTGCATTGCACTTCAGTCACACCTCTTGCCATGCATGTGTGGGATGGCAGGATATGCAGTTGTGTGAATTGTGCATTAGATCCCATCATTCCTTTGCCTCGTTGTGTAGAGGCAGCCTATGGAACCAACTTATGGTAAAACCATTCTGAAGAGGACAGATGACCCAGAAAATTCATTGCAGTGTACTATGCAGTGTTTGCCAAACGCTTTCCTCAGGTGGTAGGTTTTGGTAGCCCTGTAGCAGTCAGATAACACAGTTTCTAAATCCTGTAGGGACTGGAGATGCTGCCAGATTCCTCCCACTCCTCTTGAAATCTGGATTCCTTATTAACTGTACTGCCCTTATTTTTCTACTCTCAGCATGTGCTACCTTGGACAGGGATCTAACTGTAACATTTGTTATATCAGCTCCCTATTCACACAACTACTCACCAAAATATTCCTGTTTGTGATGACCATGCTGCGTAGAGTGGCAGCTCTCTAAGCCCCACTTCTCAAACAGTCATCCTGCAAGTGGAAATATTGAGAGACTTAGGGGGGTTGAAGAAGAATGAATTCTGCCATGCTGGCTTCACTCCTTCAGTCCTCATTCTCTCCTCTATGGTAGACAGCAAGGGGAACTCTTTCTCGTGTATTAGCATGGTATTACATTTTTTAAGTTGTCAGACACGTAAGAAGTTTATTAAAACTGAGCTTGTTTGGCTACTGAATCTCAACACCAAACAAAACAGCAAAAGTTATTTTTGAAACCATGTTTTGGTAAACAGTGTACATTCAGTGTTGACTGCCTGGTGCTCTTTGTAGGAAATGAATCTTGACTTTTTCCTCTGAAAACTTCTCTTTACATGGTATTCTCAGAGGAGTTGTTTAATGAGAACTGTCGTGCCGCCCCAGAATGCGAGTGGAGTTCTATGGAAGCCTCTGTGTCTTGGCTCTGATTCTTCTAAAGATTAATAAGCATGTCTCGTACTGTATTTTTTGTCTTGTGCTTCCAGAGCCTTTAGTCTTTTCAATATTTATGCATTAGAATATTGTCCAGGAGTTACCCTTGGAGTGACCAGCAAAATGCATTAACCACACATTTCCATTCTGATTTCTTTCTGGTTATTGATTCAAGTTTGAAGAAGTGTTTTTTCTTATTATTTTAATTACATTTGACAGATTTTCTGAAGGCCGCATTAGAGAATTATGTGAAAAATTTAGAAGTGCCAGTAAAAATTATTAGGATGGAACAACGGTCAGGACTGATCCGTGCTCGACTAAGAGGAGCAGCCGCTTCTAAGGGCCAGGTCATAACTTTCTTGGATGCACATTGTGAATGCACTTTAGGGTGGCTTGAGCCCCTGCTGGCAAGAATAAAGGAAGACAGGTAAGGACTTGAGATTTTATGTCCTACTTTGTGATAGAAAGGCCTGCTATGCTGCTCAAGTTAAGGGTTTCATTATGAGCCTGTATTTTCAGTGTGCTTATGCCTTAGATTTAAAAACATGCTTTTAGAATAAGGCTAATCCATCAGGCCAAAGAGCATTTTTTTATTTCTGCTTTAGATTTTAGATTTTTTATTTATTTCAATTTGTGGCAAATATTTTTTTAATTTTTTTTTTTTATTTTAACACTGTTTTTACAGGGTTTCTGTCAGTGTTGATGGAAATAGTTACTGTTAATACATTATCCCTTTTCTTCCATGGCATATGTCCATGGAGGTCTTTTTGGGCACAACTAACCTGCAACTTTTTTGGTTCATGCATGCTTGAATATGACTACCCTTCTGTACTCAGTGTGTCTTGTTGTCTGCTGGTGAGCTCACAGGTAGCTGAAATTTACCCTCATCCAGTTTTCTAATATCATGATGAATCTTGTACCCATCTATTTAATGTGCGAGTGGATCCATAATCCCAAATAAGAGAAAAATCCACATTATAATCATATTTTATCATTGTTCTGCCAGCATTTTTCTTACCCTTATGACTTACGATGAGAAAACAACAGGGTGGAGGGTGTGCGTGTGTGGGTGTGCATGCTCATGCAAGTACATATATAAGCTCTGCTTGTATACTTACACAGACATATCCAAAGCCAAAAAAGACCCTGTTTTTATCTATTTATAAAGCATGTAGCCAGAGATGGACCACATATAATCTCTGCAAAATGTGCACCATGACCAATAAATCAGAAGAACAGCAGGAATCCATTACTTCAGCAGCTGCTGGGATCAAAGATGGGTAGAGAGTCTGTTTACTTGGAGAATGATTGGTGATAGTGGGAAGGAGCATAAAATTGTTAAAATAGGGATGTAGCCTTCACAACATTAATTGAGTTTATCACAGAATCATAGAATCGTAGGGCTGAAAGGGACCCCAAAGGATCGTTGGGTCCAGCCCCTTGCATGAGCAAGGAAAGACATCTGGGATCAGACAGTCCCAGCCAGGTGACCATCTAGTCTTCTCTTGAAGACCTCTAGGGCAGATGATTGGACCACCTCTGGGGGGGGAAGCTTATTCCATAGTCTGACAGTCTAGTTGTAAAGAAGTTTTTCCTAATATTCAGCCTGAAACTATATTCCAGGAGTTTGTGGCTGTTGTTTCTAGTTTTCCCCCAGATGCATATCATCTATAAGTAAAAAGTGCTACTTATGTTATGAAAGGAGCAGGGGCTAGATGAGGGGAGATATTAAGGATATAGGAAAGGAGACTGTGTACATGTCTGGGGAGAAACTAACTATGTTGGTTCAATTTTGCTGTTGGGGTGAGAAATATAGTTGAATTTCTGCATGTTTGGAGCTGAGGGGGTTTTGTGAATAGAAAAAGCAGGGGATAGAGTATTTGTGTAGAAGCAGCTGTTTGTGGGAGGATGCAAGGAGTCAGTGACATACCTTCCCACAGGCACAACTGGGCGGTTCTGTGCCCTGGGTGGTGGTGGTGCTAGGGGCAGCAGCTGCAGCCAGGCTACTGGCAACAGAATGACACCCCAAACAGGACATCCATTTTTGTGCCTTCTTTCCTCCACCTAAGTCAGTGCCCATGGCTAGTGCCTTGTTTGCTCCATGTTAGTAGCATATTTACATTTGCAGTTGCTTTGATGGTCTTCCCCTAGTATCATAAGACAGTGACCACATCATTCTGGGGCATAACATCAATTGCAGCTGAACCAAACCAAATTAGTTTAAACAATAACCATTCCTTTTTAAGGTAAGGTTTGATTGTTGTTAGGGTAAAAACTGGAGAAAAAGAAAATAATACAAAAGAAAAATAAAAGGAAGCTGTTATATCTTTCTGGCTATAGCCTATTAGAATTACTTTTATTTACTGCATATAATAGTTTGTATGTACCTATTGTTCAGGGATTTTTTGGAAAAAGTATGGTATTTTATATAGTGTTATTTTAATAGTTTCTTGTTCCATTTTTTCATTAAGACTCTTCTCTTTTAGATGTTTTTATTCTGTAACCTAAATTCTATGTCCCCTATGTTATAAAAAAAAAAATTACAAGTTATAAAACTAATTAAAAATTGAGCATAGTAGAAAAAAAAATCTCAAGGGAGACGTAACTGCAATGAATAGCACCTTATAGAAAAGTTAAATCTTTGAAGTAGGGTGTGAGATCAGTTGGCAACCCAGAAGCAAAACTGAGGGTTATTTCCACATAGTCTAATTACAATTACCCTTCTTCTCTTTAGCTAGGATTCAGTATTTCAGGAATGGTTTTGTTATTCCACCCATCTACGAGCAAATACACATATCTTGTGTGTGAATAAGTTTCTGAGTTTGTGGTTTGTGAACATGCGGAAGTTGGATAGAAAATAAATGAGTGATTTTGGTAACAACATCCTGGGCTATGTCAAGATGTACAAAAGCTCTTGAATGATACTTTAATAAGTGCAGAAATGAAAATTAAATTGTTTCAGTATTGATTTGTGAATTAGAAAGTGTGAGATTTTACTTTAGCACTGAAGTTCATGCTGGACAGCTGATATCCAAGTGAATTATGCTGAAGTTTATAGCGAACCTGCATCATCTCAATGGATTTGAATGGAAACTGAGTAATCTTGTTTTGCCTGAGTTAGTCCTAAAACCTGGTAGCCTCCATTTAAAGTTTGAAAGTTGGGGTTTAACCTTGGAGTGAAACTTAGTGGGTGCAGGCCTGTGTAAATGGAAATGGGAAACAAGGTTTCCAAAAGACTGACAGCTAGAATTACATACAATTTATACAATACAGTTTTCAATATATATGAGCAGTTATATCTTGATCTGAAGCTAGAAAGACTACATTAGAAAGCAGTGTTATAGCATATTAATAGGCATTAACATTACAATGTCTTATTAAAATGGAATATTTTTTTCTTACAGAAAAACTGTTGTCTGCCCAATCATTGATGTGATAAGCGATGATACTTTTGAATACATGGCTGGATCAGACATGACATATGGCGGGTTTAACTGGAAACTTAATTTTCGCTGGTACCCTGTTCCTCAGAGAGAGATGGACAGGCGGAAAGGAGACAGAACCTTGCCTGTAAGGTAAAGAGAGTAAACGAGGAATACTTTGGTACTGAATTGTTATGGACTTATGAACGCTGTGATATTTTATTCATATATAATTATATTTAATACCATTTTAGTGAAATTCCTGTTAGAATGCCTGCCCATCCAGAAAGCATAAACATAGAATATACCTTCTAGATTTAAATTTTTGGATTACCAATATGTGACCTATTCACAGTGCTACAATATAGTTATCAGAGCTGAGCAAATGCTTTATTTTCTTTGTGAATATCAAATAAATATGAGTTTGCATTTGATATGTTTCTATCCCTTTTGTATTCATTTTCTCCAGCTGTTGTAGTGAACAAGTTTACTAGCATCCACAGCATGGAAACAGCCCAGCTTTAAGCACTTGTGGAGAGCAATGACTGAACTTGTAAAATTTAAGTATTCTCCCAATAAACATTATTCTCTTTAAAACTTATGATATTTCTAGTTAAGGAACAGAGTTGATAACTAAATTGTGTTCAGTCAGAACTAACCAACACCGCTCCAATTTCCCAGATCACTGAACTGCTCATGAATGATCTACAGGCTGACAATCAGTCACAGAAAGTATTCAGTGAGTTATTTTAGCAGACTTTCCAGACACAAATCATTTGCTTATAAAAAAAATTGTGAACAAAACCAAAAAAGGTGGCATTAGTTGAATAAATTATTTGCTCGGCTCTAATTGCTGTCTGGTAATGAAAGTATTCAAAAGTGGATGTAATTGTTTCAAACATGATTAATAGACATAACTAAAAAGGAACAAAAAAATCCCAATCCAATGCGTTTCAGGGCAGTGTACAACAAGCAGATAGAGATAGCCAGCTCAGATGGCAACAGTTCACAATTCAGCTTTAAGAAGTGTTTCCAGACAAGATAGTGGATAGTGGTAAAGGAAGTTTTTTCATGGTTCGTTATGTTTGAACAAGCAGAAATACATCCTCCTATGAACTTTAGAACAGGCGAAAGGCCTTGGATTTGAAATTATTGAATATCTTTCTAGTTGACAGTGCAATTCTCAGGAACCATCTTGTTTCCCACTTATTAATATAAGGAAAAAGGAAAGTTTTTTCAACATTCTTGTTCAGGCTGATTTTAGAGTATAAAGGTTAGATACAGTAGAGCCACTGAGAGGAGAAGAGTCAAAAGGGGCAGGAAGTGTGTTTGTGTAAACTGTGCATTAGATCCCATTGTGCCTTTATCTGCACATGTGGAGGAGGCCTAAATCTTTGCAAGTCTCTGTCAGGGGCAGCTAGCTCCTCTTGGAGCTGATCCTAGTGACTGTTAGGACTGCTGCTTGGTTGCTGTAGTGTGTGCCAGTGATGGTTCCTTAACAGAATGCTGCAGCAGAATAGAACAGAATAGTAGGGTATAAATTGACCAATGAGGACTCTAGATTTTGTTGTCTTAAGCAATTCATTGCCACAAGCAGCAACAGTGTGTTTCATGTAGAGGTGGTCTACCCATGTCAGAAAAGTCATGTTGCCAATCTGGCAGGTAGTGTGTGTAGCCACCGTATTGGAATCCAAGTTGGCTGTCATGAATTCACATTTGGTCAATATTTCAGCTCCCACTAGAGTTAGAAAATTAGTTCCAATGACCAAACCAGCATTGTATGAACTAAGGAGATCAATTGTAATATTTCTGTCATGGTAGCCATATTGGATTCCAAGATGGCTGCCACAAACATAGGTTATTAGATACCCAGAAGGTTTGCAAAATTGCTATGTCAACTCAGTTCTGTTTCAGATTACCTCAACATGAAAAACTCCAATGGAGATTGTCAACAAGAGACTCACCCTTATTGCCCTTAAGCAAATGTTGCAATGCAGTCATATTAGTGAACAAAGTGTGTGAAGCAGTCAGGTGCACAATCAGGACAGTGTATCGCATGGTTATCACTACTGTGTGTGTGGATGCTTGAATACTTGTACAAAATTTCACATGCAGTTGAATTTCTAATTTGACAGGGAAATTAAAATCTCCCTTTCAAAGCAAAATATTCCATATTTTCTGTCCCATTCTCCTGTTCTCCCTGCCATGGGAAAACAAGTTGACTTTTGTAGCTTACTCCGATGCTCACTTGATCCGGGCTCTGGTGGATCAAGAAAAGTGAATGATAGCGGCAAAGGACATCTTCCCATTAATTACTTGCATTCAAGGTAACAATGTTCAGTTCAGACACCTCAGATGAGGATAGCTGCCTTGATATCACAGGTCTTTCTCTCAGAACAGAAAGGTAGTCTTTCTTGGAATACTTATCCCCCTTACCCTGTCCTTCTTTCCTACCTCCAAACCAGCACCTGAAGTTTCATTTGGAAATCAGATGGCATCTAAAGCAAGTACTGAGTATAATTAGTTTCCTGCAGGAAACAGTATTTAATAAGTGATCTGCTGCATTCGGGGCTATCTGCTCTTTGGAGTGGTTTTAAGTAATAGCATCAGACTTCATTGCAGTAATTCAGTGCTGGTGTCAAAGGTGTGGACCCAGTAATATTTGGAGCCCTTTTGGTAGAGGGATGTTTAAAAGGGCATCAGCTGACATTTACTAATGGTTATTAATGAAGGAGCTGAGAGTGATTCCAATGCAGCAAACTCCCTCCAACTTTAACACTCCTTCCTCTAGCGTTGAAGTTGGGGGTGGGTTTCTGCATTTGAATCTTCTCAGCTCCTTCATGCATAACAGCCAGAATATACCAGGTACTGCCCTTTAAAACATTTCCCATTTGAAAGGGCTCCTTTGTCCACAGGGAAAGATGTGGTAGCAAGTTCTAAAACAAATGAAGAGGACGTAAAATTCTAGCCACACCTAAAATGGGTTGGCACCCATATCTGTCTGATATCCAAACAGATTTGGGGATCCAGAAAAAAAAAAGGAAACATGAGCAAGAAATTTCTAGTTCTTGCTTTTCCCTTTCTATAAGAAATGTTTCAACCTCACCTGAATTTTGGAGTATGTCTGCATGTATGCATACATCTTGATCTAGTCTGTTTCTATATAATGACCACTGACTTTCAGCTTTGCTTATGTATATGTAATACAATCATCGCACCTAACTTCTTCTTTTCATTACGCTGAAAGTCAGTGGAGTTGTTTGGGTGTACTTGTGAGAGAGATTTTACACAAAGCATCTAGTATCCACTTTAAGCTAATTGCAACATGGCTACCTTTTCCTTTTATATTTAAGGTAAGATATGCAGGACACGAATTGGTTTGTAATGACCATTATTGTATTTAGTAAGAAAAGATCTGCATAATTCACTCATAAGAAATCACTCAGTTCACTCATGAAGGGAACAGTTGCTGCAGAATTCAGTCATCATATGCTTTGTATGTGCTGTCCATTACTCTTAATGAAAAGTCAAAAAAAACAAAAAAAGACTGCTTTTCCAGTAAAATTTATTTGGTTCTTTTTCTTTTCTACAGATAGTAGAAATAAGAGCCAGTTTATTTGGTTTGTTTGCCCAAGTGATTAAAAGAAGCTGGCTTCCTTATCATTTAATTTTGTAAAATGATTAGGGAGTTAAAGCAACAGAAGTATCTTCTTTTGTTGGTTTCTAGAATTTATAGGGAAAGTTTAATTTATTCATTTTCTGTGGTGCAGTCTCCAAGTAATTGTCATCTTATACAGTTGTAAAGATAACTTTCATACTACAATGTATTTCTGTAAAAAGCAGATCTAATAGTTTCTTTATCATTTCTGAAGTGAGCTGAATAAAAGAAAAGAGACCTAATAAAAGTCTCTAATTCTGTATAAAAAGTGATGGGTAGTATATTGCAAACAAAGATTCAATGTGCAGTTACAGCACATTTGAAATATCCTGTCTTAATTTATATATATATAAATATAAAGTCCTGTTCTTGTTCATCACAAATTTGACCCTATCATTTTGATCCCTTATTATTTTTACCTTCTTTCCTAGGTACAATCATGTCATCTTTCTTCTTCCCCAGGGAGGTAGTCTTTCTCTCTCTTTAGATTTTTATAAATTCACATGTCACAATGGTATCTGAGCCCCTCCAACAACACTTTTCTTTTAAATAGTGTCTTTAACTCTCAGCATTTTATGAAGGTGGATAATGTCTCCAATCTGGATACGTGACCTTCCCAAGCTCACAACACATCATAAAATAGCATCTGGCTCAATTTACCCATTTTTCTGAACACAAAACCTTGGGTTTTGCTACCTTTCTGTGCATGACTCCTATATTTTCTCTATAACTCCTTCAGTTAGGATGTCAGGGTGGGATTATAGGCTTGTGTTAAGTACAAATAAACCAATGTGGATGATAATGGGTGCATCTACACCCAGAGCTTTTGCTTTGGAGTTTTTTGTTCCCAGGCATACCATTTGAATGTGTGCCTGGGACCTATTAACTCTAGAACAATCAGATTTGGAGTTTGTTCATGCATAGCACATGGAGTCTGGTTGGAGCAGCTGTGGCTGGAACAGGACCCTAGAGATCAGCCTCCAAGTCCGGGGCTGCTTCAACTGAGCTTAATGTGCTGCAGAGGAGCTAGCTGGCGCACAGCGGTGCTTCAGTGTGGGACTAGCCAGTAGGCCTGTGTGAAGCAGCAACTATTCAATTCAGATTCAGCTGATTTGGAGGGACAGTGATTCAATTTGGTGATTCGATTCACTGCCTCAGTTTGATTCGGCTGAATCAGATTCAAAGATTTGGCAGTTCGGCCATAAACTATAATGGGGAATCAGTAGAATACCTATAACTTTGTCATTTGTTTGCAAATTTGGATTAAAACAGCAGCCCCTTCTGAGGTCATGAAGCCTGCCAGGATTCAAAGAGATAGGTGCCGGGGTTTCTGTGAAAGTGCCGCTCAAACTGTTGAAAGCAAAACTCATGTCATGTTTGTGTGTTAAGGCAGAGCGGGATGAAAACAGCAGGGATGGTAGCCCCTTTTGAAGTCTTGAAGTCTGCCAGGTTTCAAGGAGATAGGTGCAGGGGCTTCTGTGAAAGTGCACCTCAG